CTGTCTAAAAATGCAAAGACTGGCAGCATTCCAGACCCATAGCCTCCGTTACTAAGAATGCAAACCGTGATGCTCCTGCGGTCCGTGTGGACAGCTCACAGAAGCCAATCCGCAGATCACTCCGCTTTGGAGACTTGATCCTACAGTGAGAGGAAACAATCAAGCTCCTGGAATGAAAGCGATGACAAGGCCACCCCTTGAGCCATCCACCGTTGCTTTGGGTACCTAGATGTCCATGGTCCGGAAGCAGACGGGGCGTTGGGAGTAACCACGAGCCTTTATTCTGAGAAGAGAGCTATCGTAGGAGCAGAACCAGCCTTGGGGAAATCCAGACCCTGGCCTCAGTCGCCCTGCTGAAAAGGTGTGGACTGCCAAGACCCCAGACTGTCTGAGTGACCTCCTTTCTGAGGATGACACTTTGGAGCTGTTGAGAAAGGGAAACGGTGAGAAGCTGGGGATTTGGGCAAACAAGAGTGGGGGAGGACAGTGAGAAAAGAGCGATGTTTGCTTGAGGCCATTATGAAACAGGTGATGTCACGGAGCTAAAAAGTACAGGGTATTCCAGAATACACTGCCGCCTTTGGCTTATTATTGCATGTCCCTGCACTGAGCGTACCTTAACAGCCAAATGCTGGGGCCACTAGAGGTGGCAGGCAGGGATGAGAGCTCAAAGAACCAAAGTCCAGGGCAAACTTTGATGTCGGTGTTAGGTAGCAGGTGACACATGTCGCGGGGAGGCAGTGCAGCTCCGACTTTCAGCAGAGTCCTCACTACTTCCTTCCTGTGTGGCAGCAGGTGCACAGAGCAGAGTGCACCTCTCTGAGCCTGGGGCTTCTCAGCAACACGGGGCAAGGACTCAGGTGCCTTAAATTGTTTGTAGGGACGGAACGTAGAGGAATCTGTGCGCACGGTAATCGCCTTACACGGCGATGCGGTAAGTGGACACCAGTGTCATTAAGATGCCACGAAGCGCATGCCAAGTGGTGGTGGCACATGCCTTTTAATCCCAGCAGTTGGGATGCAGAGGCAGATGTGTGAGTTTGAGGCCAGCTTGGTCCACAGAGAGAGTTCCAGGACAGTCAAGGCTACACAGAGAAACTCTGTTTCAAATAACAGGAAGGAAGGAAGGAAGGAAGGAAGGAAGGAAGGAAGGAAGGAAGGAAGGAAGGAAGGAAGGAAGGAAGGAAGGACCCCAGGTCACCAGGTCACCAGGTCACAGGTCTCTCCTGCTGCATTTTCCAAGCATATGCCACAAATCCCTAGGGGTCCGCACACTCTCCACGAGGCTTTCCTGGAGATTCAAGGCAGATGAAGCAAGCATGGGGCAGCATCTCACTGTAACCAAAGCATCCTTCATTTGGCCAGATAAGTTGTGTGGATAAGGCCTACGTTTCTATCAGAGGGCCAAGTGCTTTAGGAAAGCATGAATTTTAAATGGTCATCCTCCCCTTGACTAAAGATTCACGAAAGCTAGGATATCATCAACACTCACTCGGCAGGGGAAAGAAGATGAAGCTGGAGCCACAGGTCAGCCTTGGCCTATGGAAGCCTAAGCCCCAGAGAAAAGACTCACACTCCAGGCAATAAGGATTTCGCCACACAACGGAAGTCCTTTAGGTCTTCATCCTTAAAGCCCGCTGAACAGAGCACAAAGGATGCAAAGTGCAGGGTCTAATCCACAGCAGAGGGAGAGGGAACCCCAACAAAATGCTCCCCTAAGAACATAATCTCCTAGACTCACATTACCAGGGCTGCGCTGCAGTGAAGGGGGAATCCAGCCCAGGTTCACTTGTCTAAGCAACACAGATAAGAACTAACTGGCAGGTTTTGTTTTGTTTTTTTGTTTTGTTTCCAAAGCTGCTTTGTGTGTTTTAACCTGTGCCCCACAAACAGCCTCCTCTAAGTAGTTTCATGACACCCTAAATACACACACACACACACACACACACACACACACACACCAGGGTGGGGTGGGGTAAATGAGGAAGGAACGAGAGGAAAAAGGATGAAAATGGGTTCTAGAAAATGCAAATGCTCTCAAGTGACCCTGGGTCAACTATCAACCTATGAATCAGCCCAGGCAAGGAAGGAAGGAAACCAGGCATGCCTCTCATCACAGAAGAGATCACTCCGAGAGCAATCGCTCATTGGAGCCATTCAGCCTCCAGCTTAGCCTTCACCACATGATCGCTGGTTACAAAGAAAGAAGCTACTTTATCTCCAATGGCAGAGAAAAATGAGACCGAAGGAGTGTGTGCAGGGCAGATTTGAGCATGCACTACAGATGTCATGTGATCACGGTAGGACTTATACTATGCAGTGATCCCTAAGTCCCTCTTGACTTTCATGTGTCTTTTCAATCACCATCAGTCAAAAAAAAAAAAAAAAAAAAAAAAAACAGCATTTCACACAAAGGCTCAATGTTGAAGTTCACACATTTGAAATCAAGGCCGCACTGCCATTGGTTCACCATGAAGGAATACACATGTGTGTAATATACATCTCACATGAAAAGCATACATAATGCTAGGGGGGGGAGGCAGGAGGATCAGCAGCTCAAGTAAAGCCTTAGGTACAGTTCCTGAGACTCTTCCCTCAAACAAAGTAAAACAAAGGCATAAATGCTGAAGCCCAGGAGTGAATCCAAGAAAAAGCACTTATGAGGAATCCAAAGAGAGGTGTTTTGCACCTAAGAACTAGCCGTAATAGTACCCGAGGAAAACTGCAAATCTCAACTGAAATTCCAGTTCCTCTCAAGTCCAGTCAGGTGAATGCAGGCATCGCTACCCACCCAGGCCGGCTCCACTCTTCCCGTGGGGCAACAGAGGTCTGGAAATGCTATCTGGGCTACTTTCAACTAGTGTGGGCCTTCCTTCTGTGACAGGGACTCTAGCTAGAGAGGCAAGGGTGCTCCAGGTTGCTTCAGGGCAGAGAGAGCAGAGACGAGGCGCTGAAGAAGCTTCCAGCCCACAGGATGTTGTGGGTGAAGCAGTGAGAGAAAAAAAATCAAAGAAAGCTGTCTAGAAACGCAAACAGATGCTCAAATTAAAAGAGAGAGAGAGAGAGAGAGGCTTAACAGGAAGACATGAGACACACCCCTCTCTCTCCCAAAGTAAGAAAACCAAAAATAGTGGAGGAGGTGTATCTTAAAGATTTTCTGCAAAAAATTCTGTCATGCTCGTCAGATGAAGCAGGGAGAGGAAAGAAAGGAATCAAGCGCTAAGTTGAAAGTCACAGAGACTGAGGGCCAGTTGGAAGACCTCATGCAGAACTCTCAATAGGAGTAGGTTGTTTTGGTCCTGGCCTTTAAGCTCTGAAGTCAGTCCAAAAAAAAAAAAAAAAAAAAAAAAAGGATTTTACGCGAAGGCTCAGTGTTGAAGTTCATGCGCTTGAATTCAAGGCTGTGCTGCCATTGGCTTGCCTGGAAGGATTCACATGGAAAATAATGAACTTGTTTCTGGAAGCAGCCAGCGTCAGCATTCCCAAAGAGAGTTGGTAAACAAGCAAATTGGGGGGGGGGGGGAATAGCTCCTCTCTAGATAAAAATATACACAAATTAAAAAGAGACCATCTTACGCCTATTAAACTACATGTTTAAAAAAGCTAATAATAGTCGGCGTGGACAAGTGGCAAAACTGGCATGTCCGCCTATTAACAGAGGCGGTGTAAACAGCTCGATTCGAAAGCAATTTGGCAATATGGGTCAAGAGTCATAAAGCAGTAACCTTTGACTCAATAAGCTTTCTACTGAGAATGTGCTCAAATGGTTTCCAAGAAGAGAAAAGTTACATGCAAAGATGTGTACAGTCCCCTGGGGTCTAAGAGCAAATTAATGTCCCTTGATTGTCAATTGACTTTAAATATATCTATCAGTGTGACCAACCACAACACACGGATAGCCATGAGTATTTGCAAAGTGCTTTAAGGCGAATAAGGAGAGTTTAAGATACAAACGTTACCAGACGCAGAACACACTACAAACGATTCTCTACCTCTGTACCTATAGAAAACTATTAATTAGGTGTGGAAGGAACACAGTGGATATTTGAAATAACCCGGTTAGCCCAGAGGGGTGGCTATGGAGTTCCTTTTCCCAGCATTTTCCTTTCTTTGGAGGGTGATGCCTTTGCAACACTGTTGACTCAATAAATGATGATGATGATGATGATGATGATGATGATGGCGGCGATGGCGGCAGTAACAATACTTTACTGCTAAAAATCTCAAGAACACAAAAAAGATGAGCTGGAGAGCTGGCTTAGTGGTTCTGACCCAACCATGTGTTGCTCTTACAGGGTACCTGGGTTTGATTTCCACCATTGACACACTGGCTCACAACGATCTATGCCTCCAGTCCCAGGGGATCGGATAACCTCTTCTAACCTAGACAAGCACCAGGCACACGTGGTACACAGACATACATGTAGGCAAAAACACTCATATGTTTAAAAGAATGGAATAATTTTTAAAAATATATGAATACGATGTGAGACTCAATCGCAGAGCCCTGGCAACAACTCAGGATACCAGAAATGGACAAATTCAGAAAACATCCAAGAGCAAGTCAAAGAAAGTCATCTTGCGGGGCATGGTGCTGCGAACATATAACTCCTACCCCAGGGAGGCAGAGACTGGGGCATCGTATGGGTTCCATGGCCAGCCAGTCTAACAGAACTAGTGAGCTTCAGCCCGATGAGAGATCCTGCCTCAAAGAAAGTAATGGCTTTCCCCAAGATGACAACTAGGTTGTCCTCCAGCCTCCACACAGACCCAGGAAAGTGGTTTCTAGAGAGAGAAAGCTGAATGTGGGTGAGAAAGGAGACGTCTCTAACAGTCTCTGACAGCCTCAGCTTTGAGAGGTCCTGGCCTCTCCTTCCTTCCCACAGTATTCAGATGGTTGTAGAAAAAGCCAACCCTGTATGTAATCAAATGTTAACCGAGTCTCACAAATGTTCGCAGAAAATCTCACCGAGAGGCCTAGAAATGATCTCCACACTGACCTGCGCAAAGCGAAGCCGTTTTCGGAAAGGTAACTCAGACTGGCCTTTGCCGGGGTGCTGAAGAGCGTAGAGAATTTTCGGTTTCCTATGAGGTGGGGCTCAAGTGGAATTCCAGCTCTTGCTAGAATCCCAGAAGACTGTTGTCTGCACAGACTCCAGGCAGACAACCAAGCCAGGGGCGAGCACTTTCCACCTGCCCCTAACTCCTGTCCTACCTCGAAGCAGAATAGTTCTGAAGCTCTGAACATATTCAATTTATCTCATAAACCTCTACTGTTTTCACATCCATAAATGGGGACCGTCTGGAGCCTTTTCTCCTGGAATGTGGAGGGGGTAAACATAGAGGCCAGCACCACACTGGAGCCTTCTCCCTCTTTGGTAGCTTTCCCTACCCCTCTCAGGTCTCTTGGAGGGCCTGATTTTTTTCATCCAGATTTTTCCAGACCATGCACATATAACATAGAGGAAAGACAGGTACAGCAAGGGCAGACACACAGGCAAGTGCTCCACCCTTCTGACATCAAAGTCACCTTGGGGCTTCCAGAGGCACCAGCTTCTTGGCCTTCCTCATGGACAGGTATCTGATTCTCAGGCTGGTGCCCTGATAAAGGTCCATTTCAAGGCTGATTAAACTGTGTGGCTGGACTGGGCAGCTTCAAATCGTACAAAACAACAGGGCTTTCTCTCCAAACCTCCAGGGCCAAGAGAGCAGGAGGCAGGGCAGGAGTCCTCCTTAATTTGTTTAGGCCACAGTTCAATAGCTGCTTTTGGACAGAGGCAGAGCGCTCTGTGGGTAACTGGCGAGTGGCAAGGGGTTCCCTGGCTCCCGCTTTCCTATTCAGTTCAGTGACTTCTCCCAAAGTAGCAGAGCTGGCCAGCGGAAGTAATTTCCCAGCAAAGGACAAAGGAAGCACCTGACCAGTGCTGGGGTGGGGTGGGGGGTGACAATGATGGAACTTGGCCCCATCACGCAGCTTCCAGGTCTGGCTGGAGCCACTGCTGTGCTGGGTGCTGCTGTAGCAGCTGCTGAGGAATCCGCAGGAGAGAACATGCCTCTCCCAATGGTCCACAGAGGACAACCACCCAGAGGCTGGCTCTCTCAGGAGCGGAAGAGGTGAGGGGAGGCTGGCTATTCCATCTCTAACACCCTCACCTGCTGGGAATTTCCTTTGTCAAGACTATCAAAGAATCACCCTGCTTCTTCTTTCCTCCTCTGTCTCTAGGGAGTCTGCCGCAAATGCCCCTGAGCCTGTAATAGCCTGTTTCTTGTCACTCTGGCAATGTGTCAAGAATCTTTCCTGCACGTGACCCACTGCCATGCCTGTATCTCTCACGGTATTATCAGTGCTAGGTTTACCCCACTTTTCTCATGAGGAAATTAAAGGCACAGAGAGAAGTCAGCTCCCTGTCGAAGGTCACAAAGCAGGCTAGCATGGTTTCCAGAAGTTGGGCTCTTGTATTCAACCACGAAGACTCCCAACTGTCTCCTTTGCTAGAATCCTCCTCCCAGTCATAAAGAACTCCTGAAATCCTGCTGGACGCCAGAAATAATGGTTCGTATCGATTGCTGATATAACAGGATCTAGATCTCCTAGGAGACAAGCCTCCAGAAGGGCCGTGGGAGAGTCTCTAAGACTGGGCTAAGTGAGGTGGGGAAGACCCACCCTAATATGAGCAGAACCAGGCTGCGGGCCAGAATTCTGGACTAAATGAATAGGATAAAGCAAGAAGAGGACCAGTATTCGTCACACATACAGCGCGACCAGCTGCCTTGTGGTCCTGCCATCATGCTTTCTTCCCCATGGCGAGCCAGAGAAACCCTTCCTGCTGTGCTTCGCTTTCGGTGGGTGTACTGTCACAGTAATACAAAATAAAACATAAAGTAAGTAACTTATATAGCAGACCAGGCAGAGGCTGCAGATATTCCAAGGGTAGAGACGACATGTTCCACGCTCTCCAAACCCTAAGGCTCACCCAGCAGTCCCCAAACAATGACGTCTACAGGAAAACCTAGCCAAGCAGGGTGGGTGGGCCAGAGCTGCTGTGTCTGGCTGCGGCAGTGGCGTAGCAGTGCAGGGTAATTGAAGATGAACAAGGAATATAAGGACCACAAATTGAAATTGACTAACTAGATGGGCCACACTTCACTTAGAGATGGGTACTTTCTGCTGCCACATGCTGAGTGGAATGCCCACCATCTCAACAGCCCGTGGTTCCTTTAAATATAAGGCAATGTGTGGTCATTCTTTTCAAGTAAGGTTGGCAGGGAAAGGGTGGGGGGTTGCTGTTTTTCATTTCGTTTTTGATATTTTGACAAATTCCCTTAAGATGTGGTTTGTTATCCAGCTGAGGCTGGACTCCAGTAAACAGTCTGGGATACATTTGTATTCATGATCCTGGTTTCTCAGCCCCTGAGTAGAAGTCCAAGGGTAGACTGATGTGGGATTCCCCTCTGTATGCTATGAATATGTTTTATTGTCTTTGGTTAATAAGGAAGCTGCTTTTGGCCAATGGGAAAAATGAAATGAAGGTAGGGAGGGAAGGAAGGAGGGAGGGAGGGAGGGAGGGAGGGAGGGAGGGAGGGAGGGAGGGAGGGAGGGAGGGAAGAAATGCAGGGAAAACTTAGCCTGTGGGAGAAGGGAGGCCTGGGTGAGTGGCAACTCACCGTCTTACCGTCCCAGTCTGAAATTCAAGGTGATCATAATAAACGTGAAATAGCCTACAAAGTACTTGATGCTCTACAAAGAAGAACTCAGTCTCGGAGTCATAACTGCAGTTACAACGGGGCTGGCCTTTCCTTCTGTCCCTATAGGGCACAAGCTTGCTGCCATGACTAGAATCTGCCCTTGAAGCAACAAATCGACATAGACAAAATACAGGCGAATGGGAATGGTTGTATCCTAATAAAACTTTACTTCTAAAGCAGGAGGCCTGCTAGCGTTCTGACCTCCATGCTGGTGGAAGTGGCAAGACGGGTCATACTGTAAGGGAGCCGAGAAACTGCTCTTTGCTTTTCCTTTTAATCCCTTCTAGAATACTTGGACCTTACTATACCAATAACTTTGCATTTTGGGGGCCGGGGAAAGGCAGGCTTTTCCTGTCTACTTTACAATAAGGCAGCTTTGTAGCCTTGGGGCAATTGAGAACTACCCTGAACTTATCTCCCATCTTCATGGATAAAGCTGGGGTGGAAGGAATAGTGGAGAACTTAGAATCTTCTACCTTCCCATCTTTAAAGGAAGCGAGGCGCTACCATTGTGCTGCCCTTAGGAGGTACCTCCATCTGAGCTTGGGGACATGGAGGACACTCTTCCCAGAGGGCCCATGCAGATGTCTGAGCCTCGTGACAGCTGCTTCCACAGGAGCAGACTTGGGGGTTCTGTGTGGAATGCACACAGTGAAGCTCACACCCTCCTCAGGGCGGACCTAACCCCTTTGTGCCCAGTACTGGGACTGAGGCCAGGATCTGGGAAACTCAGCAGTCCAAGGACTAATGTTTGCAGGTCTAATCCCAAGATCCAGTCCTCATCTGTTCTCTTCAAGACACTAGCAGCTAAATCTTGCCTCCACTCCCACAGGCCGAATCATGGATGGGTTTCCTTCTGTGAGAGGCCCTCAGGTCCAGCTTTCTATTCAGGAGAAGACCCTTCCCTGTTTCTGCCTGTGCGTTTATCAGCAGCAGGAGAACAGTCCTTCCTACAAAAAAGAATCCCGCCTGCAACCAGCCCCATATGCAGTCTCGAGGAACAAGAACAGCTTACCCTAAAGATTTCCAGACCTCGCTCCCTCCAAGGATGCTCTTCTGGAACCTGTGAAGGATGTCATTTCTAGGGCAGGGACAAAGGGGCATGCAGGAACTATGCCAGTGAGTACCCCAGCCTCTGTGATGAAAGTAATGATGTCTGAAGGCACTGTGTGGAATCTCTGTGTCAGGGATTTCCAATTCACCCATCTCTGTCCCAGGATAGGTCCTCCTCCTCCAGCCCTTCCAGATGCCCCCCAGACCACCCCCAAACCCCTGCACGTGTGTGTTTCTTCAGGGACCAAACCGGGACTATGTGCTCTACTATGAAATTACACCTTCACTTTTGCCTTCACGGCCACCTTTCATCCTTCTCAATGTTGTCCCCGGAATGCGGAGTCTCAGGTTTGGAAGAGGCCACTCTCTTCCTTCTCTGCCTTGACTTAAAATCCTTATGACTCTCTGCCCTCAGCTAAAACGCAAATGGCTCCACCAGAGTCTGGTTCCTGCTTGCTTTGCCCTGCCTTCCTTCTACCTCTCCCTTAACCCCTCAAGTCCAGCTGCAGGCTCCGCTGCGTGCTTCCCTGTCCCCAGCACATCTTGCCCACGATGGCCTGAGTGTCCATCTAAGCTCTTTCCAGGCAGAAGACCCAGAATTTTCTCTGGGAAAGGGTATGGGATCTATTCCTGGGCTCCCAGAATGTGGTACAATGCTTGTGTTCATCAGCTTTAGTGTGTACTGAACGTCCACAGTGTGGAACCCACATTCACTACAAACAGCAACGCTCTCGTCTGGACTTTCTAATGGTGACCTATGCCTCAGTTTCTGCATCTGCAGAGAAGAGAATGACTCCAGAAATGGGCTGACAGGAAGGAAGTACCTCAAAGGCAGTCCTGCAGAGGCCCTTTTAGATAAGTCTTTCTCTCTATCTTCGGCCTGCTGATCTGGCTATCTGGGGACAGCCATCCAGAAGGCTCCCTGTGACAGGCTCTGCCACAGAGATCCTATCTACCGCCAACGGAACTTCAAAGGCATCTTTATCGGCAGGACCCACCTCAAGGAAGGTGGAATCCTAAGAAACCTCTCCTGGTAAGCCTTTTATTCTGGGGCTGACCAGGCACACCCGCCTGGCCTTATCTGTAGTGTCCCCAAGCTGTTGTCTTTCCAGGAAGGGTGTCTCCTATCTATAACCCTCCAGGAGGGAGAAGACCAGAAGGGCCGTAGAAGCCTGGCCACCAGAGGCTGGAGCCTTGGCTACTGCTCTTCAGCTGAGGCCTCCGGACAAATACGGCCCCCTTTCATGGAATCAGGCTCCTCCAACTTGCGAACTGCAGCAATTAGGTTTGAGATGGGCAAGAGAGAAGACGCCAGAATGTCTGCCTATAAGGATTCCTCGTAGTGAAAGTGGAGCTGTGGAGCAGGAAAGAATGAGGAAGATTTCCAGGAAGCACCCTGT